ACATCCTCTACGTCGTGTGTCACCTCTGGTGACACAGCTTCGGGGGGGCGGAGTTCCCCCCGGGGCCCGATTCCGCCACGGCGGAAATCGGGCCTCCAAAGCGGGGGGGTTCCCCGCCCCCACCTAGCAGGCCTAGGACAGGGGGAGCTCTGCAACTTACCTGGCTGCTTCTTGCTCCTCATGGCCCGACTGAGGGCTTCTGGGAGCAGGGGGTGGGACTTGTTGCATGTTCCCGCCCCCTGGACTCTTTACTGCTGGAGCTCTGCTCCTGTGTGCTCCTGCAGGAAATGACCCCTGACTGTGAGACTGAGGATGCAAATTGCTGCACTGAGTTAAAGCAAAATATCCTGCCCCTCCCTAAAAAAAAACAACCCATGTGAAAACCTTTTATCAGGACCAACCAACCTCACCTTGTGCATTGTGTGTAACCTTTTATCAGGACCAACCAACCTCACCTTGTACACATACATATAAATCAGGCTCACATGCACCTAGGGATTAAGTTCCAAGCACAGAGCTCCTTGCCCTGCCCTGGATAGCCCAGGCTAGCTTGATCTCATTAGACCTCGGAAGCTAAGTGGGATTGGCCCCGGGTAGTATTTGGATGGGAGACCAACACAAAACACCAGGGTTGTGTTGCAGAGGCAAGCCATGGCAAACCACCTCTGAACATCTCTTGCCTTAAAAACCCTGTAAGGGGTTGCCAGAAGTCAGCTGTGACTTGATGGCAAAAACAAAACTCCCAGACCATACCTGGTTGACAGAACATGTAGGGGACACAAGGACTTTGTAATGTGTGAATGGGCCCCTCCATCTTCCTACTGAGGAGATAATCTGGGTAGAACATTGTATGCTACCCTGAGTTCTTTGGTGGAAGGGGTGGATGAAAACAGGGTAAATAAAGGTGAAGCCACTGTAATAGAGTAATAAGAATACTGCTAGGAAAAGCAGAAGGCAGCAGGAAAAGAGGAAGAACCAACGGGAGATGGATTGCTTCAGTCAAGGATGCCACAAGGGCCCTCAGTATGCAAAGCTGATTCAGGTGGGTAGCCATGTTGGTCTGAAGCAGCAGAACAAAATCTGAGTCCAGGGGCACCTTTCAGACCAACAAAGTTTTATTCTGGGTATAAGTTTCCATGTCCATGCACACTTCTTCAAATACACTGCATTTCTTAGGTGCATGTGGGCATGATTTAGATCAGGACCACAAGGCACCGGTTGAGGGGGCTTGGCCCCCACACACATTATTTCCCCTGCACAAAAAGGCTCCTGAGCTCCTATTTGCACCACTGGTGAAGTGTGCACGCACACAAAAGCTTGCATCCAGAATAAAACTTTGTTGGTCTGAAAGGTGCCCCTGGATTCAAACTTTGTTAAGCAAGGCTGGTAACAATAGGATGCTTTGGAGGTCATTCATTCATAGGGTTGCTTGAATGTTGTGGACAATGAGTATGCTTGCAGTGGATAGTTGTGGAGGGAGAAAAAAGGATTCAGCATAATAATAACCTCAAGGAATCAGGGCAGTGAGCTAAGAATTTGTCTTGACTGCCAAGATACATTCCAGAAGAGGTTTTACTACACTATCAGTTTTGCTCACTATACATTTGCTTCTTACTTTTTAGTCCAAGTCTGATAAAACAGCCCCTTTTATCATGGAGAATGAGGAATTTGTTCCGCTGGCCCTGATCTTAAGCTGCTAGACCACAATGAGGTGGTTGATCTCATCTGTTTTCATCCCACAGGTTTCCCATCACAAATATTGGTTTTACTCTTGGCTGCCACCAGTTGACCATAAATAGAATTGCTGCCTGACAGTCTGCGGTCAAATTCTCCCTAGAGAAAAACTCGGAATCCTTAACTAGGCAGACACCAGTGTTCCCTCTAAGCTCAGCTAGTGTAAGCTAGCTCAAAGTTTTTTAGCCTCCGGCTCACACATTTTTGCCTTAGGTCAGGAAGGATGGCTCCAGAGCAAACTAATTTATGTGGCAGCAGATCACTCATTCACAACTTTAATGCCAATAGCTCACAAAGTAGAGGTTTTCCTCACAAGACTCCACAGCTTAGAGGGAGCATTTCCCCTTGTTCCACCAGGCGATCCAGCTCAGCCTCAATCTTAGGCTTCATTGCCAGTGGCGGCAGCCTGTCCTTAATGCGAATGGGGCGCACAGCAGGGTCAAGGTCCAGAGAAATATGGGGCCCAGAGAAACATCCCAGGGTGCCATCGAAAATGCAGGGAAATTCAGCGCACACAGTGCCAAAATCCTGTGACCAGACCTGGTTGACCCCATTCAAAGATAGTCCCAAGGGCCCGAACCAGGAGAGGCCCAGCAGACTGGAAAGTCGCTCTTCCATCACCAGCAGGTCTAAATGGCTGTCAGAGTCCTGGAACTTCACCTGGAACTTGCCCCAGCCCCGGACTGCCACAGGGTTCTTATTAAAGTCCCGTAATGCGAAACCCCGTGGCTTATGCAGGGGGCGGAGGTCCCTTTGGGGCATAGCTGGCGAAGCATATCCGCTGAGATAATGGAAAACGTTGACCCCGTATCAATCCCTATGCTGCAGGGGGACCCCTCTATGAGAACAATAACATGCACTTTGTTGGGGCCATTCAGGGGCAAGTTACCATACCAGGTGCTGCTGCTGGTGGGCCGAGAGGGAGTGGAGATTGATGAGCTGGTCTGTCGAGGTCTGGTGGGCTGAAGTCTTCGGGCGCTGTCCTTTGGAGCGGTAGACCCTGGACCCTTGCACGTCCTGCAAACGGCATTCCGGAACCGGCAAGACCTTCGTTCGTGGTCCTCCCTGCAGCTGGCGCATGGGGCCGAGGTAGCCGACGACGCTTTGCCTGAGTTGGAGGACGGCTCATGCAGGCGCTGGGACGGCCGATGGCAGACCTGTAGCACCTCGTCCGAGGCGTCAGAGCCGACAGTAGCACGGCAGTCGTGATGCGATTTTTCATAAGCGGTGGCCTCTCTGATTGCCTTATCAATATCCAGGTCGTCCTGGATGATGAGTCTCCTCCGGAGCTTAGGCTCCCGTAGTCCCACGAGGAACTGGTTGAGGAGAGCTTCAGCCTGGTCGGAAAAGGAGCACCTGGTGGTGGCCCGACGTAGCGCCGCCAGGAAATTGGAGGCGGTCTCGTCGGGGCCCTGGACTTTCACAAAAAAGTCCATTCGCTCCATAAACTTAGTAGGTTTGGGAGCCAGGTGGTTGGTCAGCGCCTTAACCAAAGAGCTGTAAGACTCAGCTTTGGTCAACTGGGGCGCTATCAAGTCTTTAAGCAAGAGATGGGCTTCCATCCCGCAGTGGCGGGGAAGGTACGTCTTCTTCATACCCAGGTCCGTCACATTGTGGATTGTGAAGTGGCTCTCGAGTGTCTCCAGCCAGGTTTCCCACTGCGAGGGTTGGGCGATATCGAAGGCAGGGAGACTCTCTGGTGTGGCAGCCATCTTACGGTTCCACATGGAAGCGAATGGTGGGAACTGTGGGAATGGCGGGAACTAGCGAACATAGAGAAGGAGCGGTGCGGTGCTGCTCTAGTGATCAGCGGTGCAATGCTCGGAGCTGGGAGCGGTGCGATGAGCGGCGCTTTTGAAGATGCGCACGATGGCGGTGGCGATTTCGGTGCGGCGACTCAAGGCAATGCCCAGAACCTGGTCTCTGTTCAGGGGAGATGAATCCCATCCTCGTCGCCAGTGAAAAGTACGCAGACGGACAAGTGATTTCAGCTTAGCGTACTTTATTAGATCAAGAACAAGACAACTCAAGCTGGCTTGCAGGCCGGCTTATATCCCCCGTGAATCCATCACCCAAAACACACCCTCACTTCCCAATAGGTCCAAAACTAGTGGCTGGAGAGCCCCACAGCCTCTCAGCCCGGAGCCTAGCCCTCTGTTTGGTGCGGGCTAGGATCCGTATTGTCTATTGTCTGTCGGAGTGAGCTTGACGCTTGTGCTTGACCGCGTGGTGCCCAAGCTGACCATGCGGTCTGGTCCTGATACACTACAGTTAGGTATCTTTTTTGTGCCTCTGCCTTGCTTCCCTTCCCATATAATGCATCCTGGTGGAGGGGAGCATTTTTTTGATCCAAAAAATTGTCCAGAGTTGTCAACATACGCCCCTTTACCCAAGACTATGGCCTCAATCCAGATCTTCCCACTCCCCCTACACCTGCTTTTGGGTGCCAAATTACACATCTGAGAGTGAAGTTTGGTTCTAATCAATGCTCCCACTAAGCTGTGGAGTCCTGTGAGCAAAAATGGTACTTTGTGAGCTACGGGCATTAAAGTTCTGCGCGAGTAGTTTGGCTACTGCATAAATTAGTTTGCTCTGGAGCCATCCTTCCTGAGCTAAGACAAAAACGTGTGAGCTGGAGGCTTAAAAACTGTGAGCTAGCTCACACTAACTCAGCTTAGAGGGAACCTTGGTTCTAATTTGTCCTTTGTTTCAGGTATACCTTGCCTTTCCCCGCAGTGGGGAATCAAAGAGCTTTATATCCTGCATTTTACCCTCACGCCAACCCTGCATGGTGGGTTAAGTGAATACCTGGCTCCAGGTCATCCAGTGTGGCAAAGTGGGGATTCAAACCTGGCTCTCCCAGCTCCTAGTCTGACACTCCAGCCAGTCTTCCACACGGGCTGTCCTCTGAGACCTTCCAAGCAAGGCTGCTCAGAATCAACTACAAAACAAAACTTAGATGGGCAGGACCGTTCAAAGGCAGAGATGCCTTACACTGCCCTCCTTCCCTTTGTCTTGCTGAGGAGTTCCGATTCGAACCAGCAGAAGGCAACAGCAACTCACAGTCCCAGCTGCCGCTGTGCAAAGGAAGTTTGATGTTGTTTTGTGAATGAGCAGGTGTTGCGTGCTTTTCATGTAAGAAGACGGATGCTGGGGGATCAAGACTCAAGTCTGGGATTTAATACTACATTGAGGTTTTTTGGCGCAAGTTCCAGAATGGCAGCTCTATTTTTCTTTCGCTGCAAAAAGTTAAAAGAGTCTGGTGGAACCTCAGAACCTGCCAGGTTTCTTGTGGCAGGTTTTGTAGGCGAGAATTGTCATTTTCTCGGATGCATAATGTGTATCCTCAGTCATACATACATCCAGGGTGTGTGTGTGAACTTGAAGGGTTATTGGGTTAGCAGAGTGCTCAAGGCACATAACGCAGCAGAGTCTATCTGGTTTGTGTGTGCTGCCAAGAGACATGGTTACACACGGACCTTCTTTATCTTTGCAGAAGCTAACATGAGTCCTTTATTGTAAGGAACTCATTCTAGACAGTAGAACAAAGTTTGAGTCCAGTGGCACCTTTAAGACCAGCAAAGTTTTATTCAAGGTATAGGCTTACACATGTACACACACTTCCTCAGATACATTGAAATGGAAGTTAACCGTTCATGCATATATACAGAGGCTGAACAGCACATTAGCATGCAACATAATGAAGATGCTTTAACAGATGCAAAGACTTTAATAACTGAAACTTTGTTGGTCTTAAAGGTGCCATTGGACACAAACTTTGTTCTACTGCTTCAGACCAACAGAGCTGCCCACCTGGATCTATCATTCTAGACAAGATAGGAAAAGGATTCTAATCTAGTCTAACTAGCCAGGATGGATAGAGATGCAGGAGGCATGTCCTGCTCTCATGGTGCCAATATGGACAAGTATACTGTAGAGAGAAGAGGTCAGGCGGAAAATTCCCTGAGAGTGGCAATCTACACATCAAAGGGATTGTATCAGAGCAGTAGAAAGGGAAGGATGACCAGGGTCCTGGCATATTTCTCTCTCTGACTCTCGATAGTCCCCCTCTGAAGTCTGATGCTAAGAGAAAGTGGAAAGTCCTCCACTTCCAAGAAAACTGAGGTTTTAAAAGTCCATGATGTGCACAGAGCCTGTGACACTTCTATTCAGAACTCCAAAGTACACCATAACATCAGCAACAGCTGTAATCCGTGAGTACACAGTCTCTCTGTTCATATGACTCTAATGGTAGGGGATGCGAAATGCTGTCTCTATCTAAACCCTACTGAATATGATTAAACTTACTGATAAGATGTTCTTCTGAGTTTTATTGACTGACACACCTTCTTTTTGCCACAATGGGGACTGAAACCTATTTTTGTATTTATTTATAGCTTGTCTTTTTCACTGAGATTCAAGGTGGATTAAACAGCATAAAACAGTGCAATGAAATCCAACAAACAGCGCAGTAGGACTTGGATCACAAAAATGAGAAACAATGCTAAAAAAAAGATTATCAGACACGGTACGGCATAGACAATGCAAAAAAGAATGGAATTACCAAAGTAGAAAGTAATGCAGAGAGCTAGATAATACATACAACGAACAGTGGAACAGCAGGATGATCATACAGTAAATATTCGGATAGACTAAAGCCTTATTCCCTTTATAAAAATGCCCTCTAGAACAACTCTTTTAAACATTCTCTCCTTCTCATGTTTATCTTCCCAACAACTCTGTAAACTGAGAGAGATTGGGCACACTCTCAAACATGCTAAATAATGCAGTTTCAATCCACCTCAGTGACCATTTGCAAGAGGGTTTTGCCATTTCACACAGGAAAATCCAGTTGCAAAGTGCACTGAAAGTGTGCTATTTTGTGTGTGTGAAAGCAAGTCTGGCCAGTCAATGAGCTTCACATAGCAAAGTGGACATTCAGACCTGGGTCCCGCCAGATCCTAGTCTGGCATCCTGTGTCACACTAGAACAAAGTTTGAGTCCAGTGGCACCTTTAAGACCAGCAAAGTTTTATTCAAGGTATAAGCTTTCGTCTGCACACACACCCCCTTGGATGTTCCGTGGCTGAAGAATGGCTAATCTCATCCACAGAGTGCCTAAGTAGATTAAAATGTTCTCCCAGTAGTTTCTGAATGTTGCCCTTAATATGATCCCATTGTCTTTTTCTTTGGATTGTGTGGAGTGAGATGAGATGAGAGCAGCAAACATAAATGGGCCCCTGAAGACATGGCTACTGTTCTTTGGTAGCACAAACACAAACCATCTGTGTTTGAGCCTACCATCAGCCATACTGGATATGTAGGTGTTGTCCTACTGTGACGGAATATATGTTTATCTCCTGTGCCAACACCTGCCACATCTTCGATGGTTATTTGGTAAAGACAGGGATACCAAGGCTGAAATCCAGTGGGACGTCACCGCTGGGTAGAAGCCCTATTTCTAAAGTGTGTGCTCTACCCACAAATTTACCAGCACATGCTTCATTGAAATACATGGGCATGAGCACCATTGTGCCATTCCCGATGTGTTATATATTTCATTTTATTTATTTTAAACATTCCCATGCTGCCTTTCCCGCCCAAATAGGGTAGGGTCCCCAAGGTGGCAAAGGTCAGAACATTAAAACAATATATTATAACACCCTTTTAAATATTTAAACCACTCGATACAAAACAGAAACATATGCAAACACAACACAGCCAGGGAAAAAGGGGCTTGTGGGTGGGAAAAGCCTGGCAGAGGGGAGGTTGAGAGGTGCAAAGGCTGGCCGCGAAGGGTCACTGACCCACACTAGCTAGGGTTGCCAATCTCCAGGTAGGGCCTGGAGACCTCCCGGAATTCTGAGGTCCTCCAGACTACAGATCTCAATCTTCTTGGAGAAAATGGCTGCTTTGGAGGCTGCTGAGACCCCTCCCCTCCCCAAATCCCGTCCTCCCCAGGCTCTGCCCCCAAATCTCCACGCATTTTCTTTCCAACCTGGAACTGGCAATCCTGCACACTAGAATGTCAGCCACCGAGCCACTCCCGTTCATTCCAATGAGGCATTTGCAGGAGGGCGGCTTACGGATGGAGCGGGCTTTAGGTAGGAGAGGCGTCTTTTGGATTGTCTGCAGTGGGCGCCAAAACGACCGTCTAGTGCGTCTTACTTCCCAGCCTGCCTTTTAAACCCTGGGAGCTCAGAGCCGAGCGGCAGAGCCCGCGGGACTAGATGCTGTGCATCTTTGTGTCGCCCCCTCCCCCGGGATGCAAATTTAATTCCGAGTATTAGCACAGCACTAAATACGGAGGTGGTTATCACAGCTCTCATCTGTTTGTTGCACGAACTGGAGAGCATGCTGGGAAGGAAAAAAATGAAGACGATCCTTTCCCGGCTTCCTTCTGGGCTTTATTTTCTGAACGTCTGTTGTTAGGGCTTTTTTTTGTCTGCGCAGCTCAACCTCGCTTGCCTCTAGCGCCTGTTAGATCTTACCACAATATGTACAAGAGATGCGCAAGCTCAATTGCAGTGACTGAGAAAGCCTCCTGCGCACATAAGGAATCA